CTTCACAAGCTCATTTTGTCTTCAGGTCCTTAAATGATTTTGTAAATCCAAATTTATGTACCTAACTGATTCTTTTCCACCAGCTTGCCTTCCCATCAACTCATATGAATTGCGAGGGGTTAATCCTGAATCGGAAGCCAATTCCAAATCAATGGCCTAAATGCAGGTAATTCTATACCGGGACGGCAGCATGTGAATGCATTTATTAATCATCAATGGATGGTTGTGGCTTTCAACAAATTTTGTAACTTCCAACTTATGGGTATACTTGCAATATTGTATAAGCATTCAAGTACGGTAACCAGTTCGTGTTTTAGCCCTGGGAGTCTTTGTATTACAGTCCTGAATGTCGTCAACCCTAAAACCCTCCTTGGAGCATGTTAACAATCTCAATGACAATTTACCAGTCTTCTTGTTTTTATTAAAACACTCTTTGTGGATGCTAAAACCAACTAAACTGCCATATGAATTATAGAAATCATATGCCTCTTCCTCGGTTTCAAACTTCATATCAATTCTTAGTTTCCATTCTATGACATCGGCCCCTACAATAGGAGCATTTCCTATATCTGTGGTGTCTTCGATATTATTTAATACATCTTCCATTCGAATAATTTATCTAAGAGACTTACAACATATAAAAACAAATAAACAAGCAATGTCTTGCAAGTATGGACTATATATATATATATACACTATTTTATTAATTGGTATAGTATTGTGACCTATTAACATTATTCATCATACATAATGTATCAGGGATCCAACTTCCTCAACTGCAAATATTTAATTTTGCTACAAATAACAAAATTAATGATTCATTTAATTTTTTCCAAGTCAAACATGCACTTCCAACCTTTTGGGCATTCTATTTTCAAAAAAATTACAACTATGTTTTCTTATTGATTTAACTTTTTTCAAATCAAACATGGACTTCCAAACTTTTTTGGCCTTATTTTGTGAAACATTACAACCATGTTAAGTTATTAACAATGAACAATCATAATTCTCAATTACCATTACAAATTGTATAAAACATTGCCTTACAATATTACAATAGAAAATTTATTCTAAGATCTTAAATTGGAAGTTCAAAAGTTCTAACCATGTTAAGTTATTTAGAAATACCGATCATTATTCTCAATTACCATTACAAAATTATATAAAACATGGCCTTACAGGAATAGAATGGAATTTTTTTTTATAAGATCTTAAATTGGAAGTTTAAAACTACAACTATGTTACATTATTTATAATTACCAATTATAATTCTCAATTACAATTAACAATGGTTTACAACATTACCTTACAGAAATCCACTAGAAAATTTATTCTAACATCTTATATTGGAAGTTTAAAACATAATATCCTTATAATACAAAATATTGTAGTATTATCACTAATAAAACATGGCCTTACAGGAATAGAATGAAAACGAACAGGAATACAATGGAAAATATATTCTAAGATCTTAAATTGCAAGTTTAAAACATCCATTTCTTATAATACAGAATATCCCAACTATTTTGTAGCATTTATCATAAATAAAACATTGTTTTACAGGAATAGAATGAAAACTTACATCAATACATTTTCAATTTATTCTAACATCTTAAATTGGAAGTGTAAAACATCAATTTCTTCTAATACATAATATCCCAACTATTACGAATAAAACAATGCATTACAGGGATACAGTGGAAAATTTATTCTAACATCTTAAATTGAAAGTTTAAAACCTAACATAACTTATAATACATAATATCCCAACATATTTTGTACTATTTATCACGAATAAAATTTTTAGAATTTTCCATTCATTCTTCCACAATTTAATAACAGTTCAAGAATAACTAAACAAAACTAATTAAACACAATGTCATACTATTCACAAATTCACTTACAAAACCAGCTTCCTCTTCTCCGGTGTACACTGTAGCTTCCTATGTAGCTTCGTCTTCTCCGGCGTTCATTCAAAGCTTTGGAAAGAACTTGTAAATTTGGAAAGAAGAAAAGTAAGGAAACAAGACCTATGACTTTGTTTGGAAGAGGATTTTATTTCTATATTTTGAGAGAGAAGAAGAAAGAAGATTAAGAAGAGACGCTAAATCTGATTTGGAAATTTCAATTTGGCGCTTAAATCAGAAATTGAATAGGTATAATTTCGTATATATGTATATATATTTGTGTATATATATAATTCGTATGTGTGTCTATATATATATACACCCTTTTTAACCTAATACACTGTTTGGCCTTTTTTACCGTCGTTACAGTGCATGCACAGTGATCACCGGCTGGGAACATCTCTCCTGTTCCAATGGAGAGGATTTTTGTCCGATTTGTAATCTCTATAGAGTCAATGCATGGTTGGTGTGATTGATTAAGAAAGCAACAACTTTCAACTTAAATAAAGTCATCAACAACATTTGGACTGAATCCATGCCCTTGGACTGATGAACAAAGCATAAATCATTTGCAAATTGTCAGAATTGAGAACCAATATGATTGTTTAAGGGTCAATATTGGCCCGCTTAAAGAATGGATGGAAATCGAGACAAAACACCAATGTCATAATATAATTTATGTATCCAAAGCCAACCTGTATAACTTTTTAATATGCACTAAAATGGCAGGTGCACTATATATATATATATATATATATATATATATATCTCTACCAGAGATGGAGAGAATCTGGATCCGCAATATTAGGATTAACATCTGACATCTTTAATTGAGATGTATCCAAAGCCAACCCGTCTAACTTTTTAATATGCACTAAAATGGCAGGTGCACTATATATATATATCTCCACCGGAGGTGGAGGGAATCTGGATGTCAGATGTTAATCCTAAACCATACATCGAATAAACTGCAAAAAAATAAACTCCAAACTATATTTAAATTTTTAAGTAACTCTCTTAACTATATTTTATGCATAATACTCAAATCACATTTTATTGTAAAATGTCTCAATACCTAAATTATATTTTATTAAATGAGCATAATACACTTTCTTATTGAATTATACTTAATCTATTTCTCTTATTGAAATAAATTATTAAAAAAAAAAAAATTCATACAAATTTGATGAATATATTACAAAAAAAAAAAAGAAGGGTTTTGTTAGTTAATTTATTAATTTTTCATCTATACATTGTATGAAAACTAAGATATTTTTCTACGGTAAAAAAGTTTAAACTGGGTATAATAAAGTTTTACTATAACTTTAATAATAGGTTAAATATTTTAGGAAATAGTTAGTTACAAATCTATTTATTTTTTATTTTTACGATAAATTGAAACTAATAATAAAATAAAGGTAAATAGTATTTGTGAAAAAATAAATAAAGGTAAATAGTATAATTAAATTGATATAAGAGAAATGATAATATAAATAATTTAATAAGAAATTATTTAATAAAAAAGGATAATATAGTCTTTTGCGATAAGTTTGTCTTTAATTGCAACAAATTAATAATTTAGAATGATTATTTGCAAAAAATAATAATAATTCAAGAATTTATTTTTTCACCTTACCCATATATTTATTATACTGTATTCATTTTGAATTTTCATGTTTTTTTTCATTTCAATACATTAAAAGATACATGCACTAATCACTCAGAAGTGACACTTTTATTTTTCTATCTTTCCCTTTTCTCATCGCGTGGTGGATCTCAAAACCGAAGGTCATGTCTTTGGGATGTCCAGTTCACATGTGAACTAATTAAAAAACAAAAAAGATGGAAAATTTTTGAGGGCTCCAATTAAAATTTTAAAATTTTATGGTTCGTTTGGCTATATATACCCCATGCCACCACCCTTTTATTTCAACACGTACAACTCTTCCCAGTGGCTGTGACAGTCTTTCCCATCTCTTCTTTGTTTTTTTGGGTATGTAAGTATTTTACATCTTCAACCTTTTTCTTTTCTATTTTTGTTTTATTTTTCTTTATTGATCATCAAAAAGTTACATATCAGCAGTAATTTTATAGCCAGAGTTGAGAAAGTAGTTGTTCTTCATATTCAGGTATCTCTATAGAAAAAGAGTTCACATGTATTGCTTGTTTAAGAAATGATATAAAAAGAATAATAAGGTAAATACCCTCATCTTAGCTGAGGATCAGAATTATAGTTTTGAAATATATATATGTGTGTGTGTGTGTACGCCCCTTTTTTTTTTTTTTTTTTCTGATGTTACAAAGAGGCCTCTAATCTAATGGTATATATTATCTTTCTTTGGTGAAGTTTAGAGTGACATATTGCTAATAATGAGTGTGTATTTATTTTAATTTTCAAAATAAATAAATAAACTTTTTAAGTTTTCTGTTAAAAATATTATACTATATACCAAAAATGCTTTTAAATATAGCAAAATAACACCCCGAATATAAAAGAGTGGATTAATCAAAGTCCAAATGCCAAATGTGAGATAGAGCGCCCACACCCCTCTCTCACATTTGGTAATCGGACTCTTTGTTTCCAAATTTTTATATCATAAAAAATGAAAAGCCCTCCATTTCAATTTAAGTGCCCTTTATAAGGAGTAGTAATTTTTAAGAGACATGTGCAACATGCATTGTGTTCCTAAAAAGTTACTAATTTGTTCTTTTAAATTTTGAATATTCAAAATTAAAATTTTAAACTCAAGATTATATATGTAAAGATATGAAATATATTATTGAAAAAAAGAAGTGAACTTATTATTTTGAGAGACAAAAAAAATAAAAATAAAATAAAATGTATAACACTTAGTTTTGAATAGAGGAAGCAATTTCTTTTGCAGCTCTACCCATGCACATTCTTAAATACTTCACTCTCGATTCCATAAATGATTGGGTCATTAATTGAGGATCCATATTTCTCATCAAAGAATTACCCTCCCTACTTTTTCTTGAATTGCGTACTTGCATACATATAACACACACACACATATATATATATATATATCACTTTTTGATCTAATTACACTTATCTAGAGCTTTTAGGGAATCATGGCGAATGGACAGATAGTTTCTTTCGGGCCACATGGTGGTAACGGAGGACATTCATGGAATGATGGAACCTACAACACAGTAAGAGAAATAAACATACATGTTGGAGTGGATGAGATTAAATCCATCCAAATTATCTATGATGTGGATGGAAAGGCAGTGTCGGGAAAAAAGCATGGTACCACTACAGCAACTCTAAAGACGGTAATATTTTATATATTATATATGTATGCAATTTGATTTTCACATACTCGATCATGCACACATTTATGGACCCAATTGGTATTCTATAGTCTAATTGTTGAACCCAAAGCATGAAGGCTCTTCTAAGTAGGATCCATGTTCGCCTGATACTATATATGTTTTGCATTTCGTATTTTGTGAAAAGCTAACATTCCAATACACACACACACCCACACACACACACACACACACACACACACACATATATATATATATATATATATGAGAAATTTTACAATGTCTCCCTAAAATTTTCAATTCTTAAAAGTGTATCTTAATTTTTCTTTCTTTTCTCTTTTACTATTCAAAATCCTTTGATTCTTAGAAGAAAGAGTATTCTTCTTCTTCTTCTTCTTCTTCAATCAAACCCTAATTTTTGTCTAACAAAGTTCTCTCATTTTATTTTTTTCTTTTTCATCTTTTGTTTGTTTCTTGTCATAAGTTTCTTCTTTTTGCACTCGTGTGATATATGTATTGTAAGCTTTTTCCCTTCTTATTTAAATTTATTACTGTAATTTTATGTACTTAATGTGTGCATTTTATATATTTGAATTTTTCTTCATTGTACTTTTTCTTTCTGTAAATACTGCTATTTGAATCTTGACTACATCACTTCTATTTTTTGGATTTCTGTCTTAGTGCACTTTTAGATTTCATGTTAATTGAAAAAATAGGGCTGCCGAATGTGACATAGATAATGGACTATTTCGAAATACAAACACTCGTTGAGGACAACTATAATTGTAGTGAATAAAAATATTACAAATCTATAGTTTAATTCTTATATTTGTCAAGTATATATTTATCTTTTTTTCACTAAATTTTTTTTTTTTTTTTCCGAATGGGGTTCATTTTATTCATACAAAAATAACCAATAAAGGACATGTGGAAAATGTGTTCCCTATAAAACAAGGGACACCCAGGAAAAAGAGGACAAAACAAGCCAAAATAAAAAATCAACACTAGGATGGGGATAAACCTGATTAAAGACAGTCTACCAAAACATTAATATGGAAAGACCTGATGCATCAAGTCCCTCTATGCATGCTTTCATGGCTAAATGCTGCCTTGTACTACTCCTTGATTAACACATTATTAATTTTGCAATGATTCTTATAATTATTATTATTATTTTTGCCTTTTGATTTGAACAACCTAGATTTGTTTTTTAATCAATATACTGCACCCCTGAAATGAAATCATGACTCTGTTATTACATATATACAATATTTACATGTCTTAGAAATGAAATCATGACTCGTCACTGCATATATATGGTATTAACATGTCTTAAAACTTCACCCACAATCCACATTATGAAACATACAACTATATAGACATATCTTAATAAACAAATTTGTAAATTTTTTGTCCAAATTTTGTTTCTGTCAAGTCCTGTACGTTGCAACCCGGTTTTGATTTGATTATTGGGTTTCGCATCTGGAATAAATTTTTTTAACCCATTTTGTCTGGTGGGTCAAAGTTTCGGATTCTAATCTTTATTGTAATCAAATTTTGTGAGACGAAATAGAGTGTGAGAGAAAAAAGATTGGGGACTTGAAAACTTCTAATCTCTATAGTGAAATATTTTTGTCGATATTCAACATTACCTTTTTTTTTTTTTTTTTTTTTTTTGTGTGGTTTGTCCGCTTTTGTAACAATACTTATGTTTATCATTGTTAATTGAATCTTACAGGTGACATTAAACTATCCTACGGAGTACCTCATTTCGATATCGGGATACCATAGTGCTAAATTTTCTGTTGTTAATTGTCTTACACTAGAAAGCAATATACAGAAATATGGACCATATGGTATCGAAAAAGGCACTCGTTTTGAGTCCCGGTTAGATGCTGGCAAGATTGTTGGATTCTTTGGAAGGGAGGGTACTGTTGTGGATTCAATTGGAGTACACATTACGCCATTCCAAACTACAGTACCTAGTGTTGGTCCATTTGGAACTACTGGTGGACAGCAGTGGGATGATGGAACTTACAAGAAGGTAAGGGAATTGATTATATACTCTGGATGGGTAATTGATTCCATCCAATTTGTCTATGATGATAAGAACGGAAATCCAGTAACAGGAGCAAAGCATGGTGCTGACGGCGGACAACAAAACACGGTAATTTATACATACATACATATATATATATATATATATATATATGCAATTTAATTTTCATTTATGCAAATATGAATGTCATGCATGCTTACCTTTTTTTTAACAAATATAACTTTCATAGGTCAAATTAGACACCGATGAATTTTTACTTTCATTTTGGGGGTACTATGGACAAGTGGATAAAATGGTTATTATACGGTCGCTTGGATTTCTAAGTAACAAAAGAATATATGGACCGTTTGGCGTGGAGGATGGAGAAAAATTTGAATTTCAATCCACTGGTGGCAATATCATCGGATTCCATGGAAGGTCTCACAAGTATCTTACTGCAATTGGAGCATATCTCGACAAGTGAGGATACACAATTCAGACGATGATCATGAGCCACGTTTTACTAGTCTTTTAATTTTTAATAATTTAACTGCATTTGCATTCAATACAGTTATAATAATTGATGTTTTGTGTTGTCCTTAAAACTTGGTGAAAGTGGTTAAGGCAACACAAACTTGTGTCTGTGTGTTTAATTTTAAGTAATTTTCATGTTTCTTTGAGTGCTCAGCCTAAATGTTCGTGTCGGTTATGTATTTTGTTAAGCTATATTAATCTAGTGAAAATATGTTGTATGTTATTTCTAGTATTTGTTACAATAAATTGGTGGTTGTACTTGCAAAATAAGAATCTTGATGGTTGTGAAAAAATTTATTCTCAATTTGGTTTAAATATATGATTTGATAAATATAATCATATGACATTGGAAATAGTTAGTATAAAAAGATCTGCTATATTTAAGATTCCAAACTCTGATTCTCGCGTTAATATATCCTGAGAAAACTGCCTACAAGGTTACTATAACAAATTCAAAAGCATGAGTAGAGGCAGACAGAAATGCCTTACCAACGTTGACAAGACAAAAATTAAAATTAAAAAATAAAAATTAAAAAATCATGAAAAGAATGAAACTACTAATACATTATTTGAAATCTCTTGTATCCGCGGCGGATACCCCAGATCACCCGCTGTAAAGAGCAGAGCAAAACCTACAAAACAAAAGAACTACAAAATAGTGCAGATCCGGTTGAGGTCCACGAAGAAGGTATTTCTGGCTCTCTTCAAGTAGGAGATGAAGTGGCTCCTAAGAAGGTACAGGCCTCAAATGGGGGAAGACGAACTATTCCTGATTACTGGATACTACGATACTAAGAGGAGGGTTACGTTACATGAGTAAAGTAAGGAGGACATCTGCTTGAAATTGAGCTGTAGTGGCTTTCGATGCGGTCTGGCTAATCAAGCTCTGCTTGATGCTCACCTAGGAAATTCTGTTACTTCAGAATCATAGGCCTCCATCTAGTCTACCATAAGAATCAAAGTGCTGCTAAATGCTTACTGAAAAGCTATGAAGCACCAACACGTGAATATGCAGCACTGTACTAGTGTCTGACACATGCAAAACGTATCCCCATTATTTTATATATTTTTTTGGATCAGACATGGCCTGACACCTCAGCGACACGCCGGAGGACACGTCAATCAAGCTTCAAAAAAAAAAATTTGAGAGAGAAAGAAGAAGATGATATATATGTATGTGGTGTGTATATATATAAGTCCATTCTCTATGACAATCTTGGCTCAGATCATTTGCACATCGTTGGAGGACTTGAGAACGTGAAGGGCATAGATGGATCAGATGGAGCAGATCATGAGACATAGAGAAAAAGAAAGAGAAATATGTGATTGAAAAAGAAGGTGAAGAGATAGCATAACCCTATCTTCGATGTGATCAACACAACTCTCTCTCTCTCTCTCTCCGATGCGGTCAAAATTGAAAAAGATTCTATAGAATGACCTAAAAGGTCTCAGCTATGGGCCGTCTCTCTGGCCATATAGCCATTCTTTTTGGATCATTTCTTTTGGGCCTATTGAAAACTGTAATTGGACTGACTAAAGTTTGTGTACTTTGCATCTATTTTCATCCTAAAATCCCACACGTAATATCTACATTATTATATATAATTGATTAATCTTTCAAAAATAAAAAATAAATAAAGAAATATGAGATATGTGGTGAGACTAATTTAAATAGGTTATATTTATGAATATAAATGAGAAATTGAGAAAAGAATAATTTTTTATATAATAATAAATTATATTATTATTTTATTATCGTATTCTTGTCGTGTTCTTGTTCTGTTCTGTTTTGTTTTTTTTTTTTTTTTTTTTTAACCAGTGTCCCGTATCTTTGTCCATGCTTTATAACTGAATAGCCTTTTCAAAGATTTATATCAAGCCGAGCTACACTAAAAAAAAAAAAAAAAATGAATTGTAGCCAAGGTGGAAAATGCTTTTCACCATGACTTTGGCCCGTGATAGTAAATGGGTGATTTTCTATCACGATGCTTGACTATGGTAGAAATTGTATATTATTTTTAATATATATATTATATATATAGCCCCTAATTAAGAAGTCCTTTTATTTTTTATTTTGGTACAACTAGTACAATATAGCCAAGCAAGAACCAAACTGAAGCAGAGCCTAATAGAATCAAAAATTGCAACCAAAAGATTATCAAAGAACAGAATCAAAACCCAAACCAACTTAAAACTTGCCATTGACATCATAACCAACCAAAACATGATTTTACAAAAATATCATATAAAAATGTGGATCCAAAGAACATATTCATAATAAGAAAGGTTACAAGAAGTCAAAAGCTATACCAAATAGAAGCAACAAAAAAGGCATGATCCACCACATCCACCTTATTTATTTTTTTATGATATGGGAACCTCGCAATTATCTGTCCTTTAGATTTGTAACTACTAGGTAAATTCTCGACTACTCACTCTGGCTCCACAATACAAGCAACATTTTAAATCGAGGATAATAAAGGAGGTGGGAAGGCTCGAATTGGCCAATGCAAGCCAATGCCCTCACCTTACCAACTCATCCAAGATTCCGGGAGCTCCACCTTATATATTTTAGGGTGAAATACATTAAACCTCCTTTTTCTATCTGTATTTTTCACTAAACCCCTCTTTTTTATTTTTTTGTCAATAAACCCCCCTCAACTATTCACGGGGGGTGATTTAACTAATGGAAGTTAGTTGAAATGGAGCTGTTTGGACATTTTGTTTTTTATATATTTTTTAGACAAAAAATATCCTTGTACTAATTTTAATATACCCTCATATATATATATATACTCTATTATCACTCTTAGCCGCATATCTTCCACCATTGCAACAACACGTACCCTTCCATTATTATAATATTATATATAATTTGTATCATAATATAATAGTATATATAATATGTACCATTAAATATTATTTATATTATATTTTCATTTTTATCCCACCTTCAGACCAATATAAATCTAGGTTTTTTTCTTCAAATTTATTTGCTATATATATATATATATATATATATTTGAGAATTATATTGTGCATTCGTTTATTTGGTTTTTATTTATTTTCATTTTATATAAATATATTTAAGGGACACTACAGGAAATAATGCCTAATTTTTTTCCTTTTTTTATATTAATATTTATGTCTACATGTTTTTTTTTTCTTCTTCTTCTTCTTTTTTATTTTTTATTTTTCAATATCATTTTTTCTGTAAAAAAATAAAAAATACTTTCCATGTGATTAATGTGAACTTGTCAGTTTAGTAAAATATTAAAATAAAAATAAAAAAAACAATAGAAGTGTTAATTTCTGTAAATAATGTCGTTTAGGTTATTTAATAAATAAAAAAATAAGAAGCAAGGTAGATTTTTAAATAGGTTTTAATGGGTATTTAAATCAATTTATATTTGAGTTCTCATTTAACTAACTTCACCCCTCTTGAATAGTTAAGCGGGGTTTTTTGGCAAAAAAATAGAAAAATAGGATTTAATGAAAAAAAAGAGATAGAAAAGAAGGATTTAATATAGTTCACTCTATATTTTACTTAACCAAAAAACAAAGGCTCCTTATGTGTGTGTGTGTGTGTGTGTACTTCTGGCCCTCTAAAGTCTTTCTCTAGCTTCCAACTTCTTCACAAGGCATGCAAGATAATAGCAGCGACAAAAAGTAACAGCAATCGTAGCCCCGACAACCTCCCTAGCTATGTCCTATAAAAATTAAATAGTTTAATTAAGAGGAGGTAAAGTAAGTTCAAAAGCTGCCAAATCAGGTCAGAAGCCTAAGCCATCAAATGCACAAATAGGTCAAAAGAAAATGTCATTTTGGAGTACGTTTTATCAACAATTTGCATCACTACATCAAAGACAAATTTACGTGGACTGATTTCTAAGTAATTGCAGATTTATGCCTGTCACGCCCGATTTTTAAAATCCAACCCGATAGAAGAAAGATAATATAGGTTAAAATTTAATAGAAACGCCCTTAAACTTTATCTACCCTTTTCCTTAAATCATATAACATAATAATTATTTTGCCCACTTTTTCTTCTTTTATTTACATCGGTCCCTAAAGTTTATATCTCAACATTTTCATCTCAACTTAGTCGCACTAATACTAAATACGAGTGATCTGTTAGATGATCTAGTGAATGAAATTTAACTATAGTCTGCCACCAATTTTGTTTTTCTTCTAAGATCCCACAATCTAAATCAAACTCATTCACAACTAGCTAACATATTGCTTATAAATCTCATTTAATATATAGACAAATATGTATATGTAAATATCTTATGCCTCTGGTGCTTTACTATTCAAGGACTTGAGCATCTGTAGAATTGACATATAAGAGACCTGGGCCACTACCAAATAAATAAAGGTTAAATAAACAGTGTCCATTCTTCTACTAAATTCACACAAGTATTTAAATATTCCAAGCTTTCAAACATCAGCCAACTAATTAGCTTAACTCCAGTCTCGTTGGATATATTAGAATTAAACGCTCCACAATTCGAATAAAAAAATTAGATAAAATCTAGGCCATTAAATCTTCATATCGAAGAAAAGAAAACAACCAATATGTTCCAATTCAAAATAATCAAAGTAAATATAGTTCTTCCAAGCAAGCAACAAAGATGTGACCATCCCAAGTACGCTAGTTATTCCCAGTACCGTCCCAGTACCACCCACAATAGAAATCTCTAGCAACCCCCAAAGGATCAAACCCGTCAATCTCACAATATAATATTGGAAACATATTTTGTAAATTCGCTAATTTTATTGTCAAAATAAGTTCGATCGAGTTGTAAAATTTTGGTTCATAATTTCAAGATTGAAGATCGAAAGCGAATTTAAAGAAGTTCGAGTGTTCGTGCTTTAATACTGAAGACGCAATAATCTACTCTCTATATTCAGAAAGTAAATTTGTTACACTTCAATCAAATCCCTTTA